GCGTTGCACGAATTGATTTTGGCGGCATCAAGGTGGAGTTTTCGGATTTCCGGCGCTATGGTCAAGGCCGCGGAGTACTTAGAATACTTCAATTCGTAGTCTGTTCAATGAATGACGTTCTGGTTCAACCATGTAGACATGTGGTCACTGATTTGTATTGTAAGACGTGAAAACCAGTTGTGATTCTGTACTCGAGAATATATCCAACTCCAACGACACTCTATGCCCTGAACTCCTTGTCAACACTCTCAAAGTTCTCCAAGAAACTCTGGAAAGTAAAGACACCCAGACCAGGATCCAAACTTCCGGTCGTTGCCCTGATAGAATGCATACTCAGCTGCGGAATGCCGCAATCAATGGACCTGATACCCGTTGCAGAACTCAGCATTGGTCCAACGGTGCCTCCACTCCTGCTATCATTTCGAATTTGAAACACCTGAAGCTTAGGGTCGACCTTGCGCATGCCGACATCGCGATCAACACAGCGCTGCAGAATAGCGGTGGAGACAGCGTCAGTCGTCATGTGGGCATTTGAATCCGCAGAGACAGCAGGACCGACATTGAGACGCGGAGAGTGGTTCTCGAGATACGCGTTGAGGAAGTTGGGATTCACCGCGTGAATCACGTCGCTAGAGACGAGGAAAGAGTTTGCATATGTTCTGCTCAAAGCGCTGCCGGTCTTTCCGTTGCACGCAAACTCTTCGACGATGCGCTCCATGACGCTTGGAAGGAAGTTGCCATGAGCACCTTGTCGGAGTAGCGAGCCGACTTCTTCGTCGTCGAAGAGGGCGACCATGCGGATCTGGGACGAGGTTGAGAGGGATGAACTCGAGTTGAGGAGAGCTTGAATAGCAGCCCAAGAGCAGAGTTTGTCGTCGATCCGACCGGCGAAGATGAACTCCCGGTCGAGGCCACCGGTCTGGGCAGCTTGCGTATCGAAGAGCTCAAGCTCCCAATTGACAATGGACGAATCTGTTACAAATCAGTATCTTTAGGGACGTGAGGGTGTAGTGCACATACAGTCCGTAATGCCGAGTTCGCTTGAGATGGCTTTCACAAGCCTCTCCGGCTGAGTAGCAGCGAATGCGCCCTCTCCGCCCAGCACACTGGCTTTCCAGTTCTCCTCACCATGTTCCGACGAACTTCCAATATCGCTGTTGTCCAGACCGATTATGGGGACCATTTGCGTCTCTTTGTTGAACGGCCCGTTGGCGGCAGCACCAAAATGAGGTGCTAGTGTTGGAATCCTTGCAATAGGCCAGTCCAGCTTGACAAGCCTCGTGACTATTTTCCCATTCTCCTTGACGAGTACCCGTCCACCAACACCAAGGTCGCGGTCCCACCATGTGTCGCTCAGTGCACCGGCGTATGGGGCCACACCGAGCTGTACGTAGCCTGATTTGGTGCGAAGGTTCGAGATGGGCTTCAACTTCGCTGTGAGCGCATCAATGTGTCCAGCAAGAATCGCAGCTCCATTGCCCGACGCGTAATTGTCACCAATAGCGAAGGCGATGAGCGAGCTCCCGTTGCGCTCAACGTAGTATTTGCCGCCAGCCTTCAGCTCCCACGCATCGCGCTCAGACAGCTTCTTGTAGCCATCCTTCTCAAGGTCCTGTGCGACAGCATCGACAGCGTGGAAGATTGTAGGATTGCTCGTCATGTAGTCGGTGAAGGGCTTCGTGTAGCGTGCCGGATCTTCCTTTGAGCGAGCAGGCACCGGAATCCAACAATGAGAGGGCGTTGGCTTAGGCATCTTGACGTCCTCTTTTGCTTGCTCAACTGGAACCTCTAGTATCTTCGGTGGTACAGGGGGAGGGTTTTGGTAGCTCGAAGGCGGCGCGTAGTCTTCGTCTTCAACATCGATAAGGTTGGGATACGTCGCGGTGATACTGTGCCGGTTACGGTAGTCGGAAACAGCTTCGCGGCTCCTCCATCCTCTCTCTGTCACTCGGTCCTGTCGATGACGTTGAGGTAGCGATGCGGTCGTGTGAGCGCGTCCAAGTGTCGTGGAGTACGAATGCCGTAGCGGGCGGGGCGGTGACGGATCCGCGTAGAGGTCCGCGTTCGAAGCCGCCTTGCGAAGGCTGGGGTGATTTCTCGTCATATCGGAAGTTTCGCACCGTGTTGATGAAGCTCGAGACGGAGTGAGAGAGACGAAAGGAGTCGATGGCAGAGGGCGAGGCTGTGTTGTTGTTGTACAGCTGGAGTTACCACCTGAGCAGCGCCACAGATGGGGCGAAGCTATCCGAAAGTGGAAAGCTCCGGACGACTCGCCGCAGCTATCGAACGCCATCAGCCAAATCAATAGGTTGAACCATCACAAACATAGGAACCACTATCGCATCGAGCGCTTTTACGAGCTGTACCGATTGTTGGACCCGCTGAGTCGCGAAAGTATGGCATACGCAAGAAGGTTGAATTGACGACTAGGTACCCTGAGCCCGTTCCGGTAGAGACGATACCCTGATACTTCTACACCACCCGACTCGTGTTGACTGCTACTGCTCACCCTCGTATCACCACCAACCTGGCCCAGTACAACTCCTCTTCCGTTTCTCCTGGTGTATCATTTATAGGTTGTCTACATCCTTCGGCCTCTTACTGACCTCAGGAACTATCAGCGTGATGGAATCCACAATTTCATTACAATCGCTTCAGTTTGAGTGAGCAGAAGAACGATCTGTGCCTATCCAGACGGCGAAAAGTCTCGCATTGCTTTGGTCGTGCTCGCCAGCATAGCAATCATCATCGTCGTTCATGTTAGGTTTCTTTACTATTCCAAGGTTGCCTCAGTACCAAGAGATAATAATGACCTTGACTGTAACAAAAGTGATTCTTGGCTAGTTCCTGCACAGTAAAGAAACCCCGCGACGGCGTTGTATGTATGAGGGTAAGGCCTTACGTCAGGATTTAGACAGGTTAGCTGGGGCTGTGACTACCTAGGCATGCTACGCCTTGTAGAGTGCCAAGGGCGACAGTGTGATGATGGATAGCCAGCGTTTGAGCGGTGGAAATCGGATGGTTCGGGGTGCAATAAGGAGGCAGTTAGGAATCGAAGGTACGTCATGCGTGCGAGGGCGTAAAAGGGCGCCCAAAGGGCTGAAATGGATGTTGCTACGCCTTCTACGACCTGACTGCGCCACACTAAAGAGACAGCATGTTAGAAAGGCTTTCCGCCCTCGGCTTCTTCCCTCCAACCCATTACCATTTTTCCAGCTGAATCCCACCTGCCAAGCCCGCAATATTCATTTTCCAAATCGCAAGTGCAAAAGATATTCACATTCAAAATTTATCTTCTACATCACTCCAGCAATGACAGGGTTTACTGATAACAACGAAGATGACTTCAATGCACAAATGCTTGCCGCTATCGAGTCCAACGACCTCGCTACCCTACATGATGTGATGTCGAAACACGAGGCTGAAGATCCTGATGCTTTGCGCCGGGGTAACGGATTGAGCGATGCCCTCAACGAAGCATTAGAGCTGGCCCGGTACGACATGGCCGAAGAGCTTTTCAAGCGTGGTGCTAGGTGCACTGATTGCACTATAGGGTATGTTCTGGATGGGGCACGTCGGGAAAATGAATGGAACACGAAAGCCATCGATGTGGCGCTGGCGTACGGTTGGAATATCAACGAGCCCTATGAGCATGTTGGCAGCGCGCTTGTGTAAGCCTTCGCTACCCTTCTGGAGACCATTCGACTCGCAGAAATAACTGACAGGTAAACAGATCCATCGTCAGTAGCGCGGAGACAGGCCCAGGATATCCCGATGGCGATACAGCTTGCCTAAAGATTGCTGCGCATCTATTGTCAAAAGGCGCCCATGTGGACGAGAGCACCCGGACGAACGAGAACCCGCTCGAAATAGCCTGTGCGAAAGATGACAGGCATATGGCAGCGCTATTGTTGGCACATGACGCATCGCTGGAAGAGGCGCCCAAGGCACTCCTCAATGCTGCCCGTGAAGGCAGCATTGACATTATGCAGCAGCTGCTGGATCGAGGCGCCGATGTCAATGCACACCCGTACGGAAGACTCGAGATAATCCCTTGCCAACTAGAGGACGAAGGTTGGGGCTCTGCGCTACATTGTGCCGTTAAAAACCACCATACCGAGGCAGTCTCATTTCTCTTAGAGAAAGGCGCGGCCAAGGAGTACAGGAACATGGTGGGGTTGAAGGCTTTGGATCTTGCTCGCAAATTGGGACATGAGGATATTGTGCGGTTGTTAGAGTAGAGTGATGACCGCTTATGCAATCATCTACCATGAACAGCAGCATTTCTTCTTTGGAAATTTTGTTAATGAACCCGTATGAAAAGTGCTGGATCCTGGGCTGTTATCGCAAGAAGGTGGAACTTTCGCCCGACACGAAGACCGATCGATGCACCGGATGCCGTGACATTGACGCGGATCTGTCCAACGTTGCATACCAACACAATATCAGCGATAACTATAAGGGTGCAAGTTTTAACAAAAAAAGAAGTATTGATTTACACATGAGCCTGCGAACTCGTTAACAGATGGTTTGAGGCTCAAAGAGATGGACTTGACAAATTGGTGGGTTGAGATCACACCGATCACTCATACGCTGATCGAACCCGCCCTCAGGAGCATCTCTGAGTACCTGAGTGGAACTTAGACACAAAACATTTAGCAACCATCTATATCGACAATAGGCTTGATTCTAGCAGTACAAACACCGAAAAAGATGCATCATTCGACGAATGTAAGACAACGCGAGAAGCCGACGATAACGGCGAGGGTTTTTAGGTCGTCGAAGAAAGCTTTGTTACATGTTCGTCAATGCCGTTGCACTTGAAGCAGCGATGGTGAGGACGCGTAGGAAACAAGGGAGAAGAACGACGACGTCGATGGAGCTGCGTGGCTATATGGTGTCTAAGTGCTTGGTAGTGTCACCACGTTGAGGCGATCGCGGCGATTCTATGAAGCGATCAATGCGATGATAGTCGCCCAATCCCGAGCACACTTCTCCAATCACAACTTCACTTCCTCCCACTCTCCTCCCTGCGGAAAACCCAAGTGGAATCTCCCACATTTCGCAAAACTAAACACTGCTTCTTCTGCCATGGTGAAATCTTCGACTTTCCCTCCAAATTCCTCATTTGCGTCCAGGAAATGTGCATGGATCCGTGGGCCGCTGATAGCCTTCATCCAGGCTGGCACCACGAAGCCGAACACCGTACCGTCGATTGCATTTCTGCTGGGCCCATCTTCGAATTCTATCGAATCAAAACGACCAGCGATCTTAAAGGGCATAAGAGTATTCACGCCCTTCGCTGGACCCACATCATCTGATGAAACGAGCTCATCAAGGGCTTCCAGCGACATCGACCCGATCTTCAGACGAAATGTTGGCTGGTATACTGTGACCAATGCGAAAGGAAGGCGTGCATTCATGGGTGCTGACTTTGCTTTACCATCCTTGGTAAGTGCGTACGCTTGTCGGTCTTTCAAAATCATGAGACTGCCATCTTCGTAAACACCAATGCCATCTGTGCCGTGGGAAGTAAGGTCAGCGGTTCGCGGTTGGCCTTGATTGAATCCGGCGTTGAGAGCTGCGTAGGTGGAGAATTGGAATATATCGTTTGGTATTGAGCCAACCATGATGGAAAGTACTGTAAAATTCTGTGATTCGGGTGATGGTATCTGGTGTTTGATAACTAGATATGTTGGAGTTCGAGGTTGGGTAGGTAAGGGTCCGGGCTTAGCGGAGAGCCGATCTCCGACTCGGCTACCATATCAGCCCTGCGGTGTGTGGGCGTCATCCCTAGGCGTTCTCTTATACATGCTTATTCTGTTGTACAGATGGAGGTTCTAGATGAACTCATTGATGTGCTTTGCGAAGCAGTACTCGGCAGATCTTGAGCCTTCAGTGTTTCTACTCCATGTCGCCTTCTCGACTCAGACCATCGAAATTCCGCGTGATACATCTTTCTCTTTGCGGCTTTTACGTCTTTAAGTTCCGATTTCCAACGTGATCGGCCGTAATAAGTACATGGAAGCGTCGAAATCGTGAATATCAGAGTAGGAAAATGCGATATGTACCATACGACTGTATCTCTTCCTAAATGTCGGTTGATAATGTGTTGGTCATGTCTTCACAGACTAAGTCGGTACTTCATTACAAGGAATAAACTGGCCTCGACATCTGAATTTAGTACGATCTTTTAGAAATGTTCTTGGAAACACCTTCCTGCAACGTTGAGTGTGAAGGGAAGCAAGCCAATAACACGATCGCTTATGTAAGTGATTTAGCGCGAACCGTCGGAAGCTCAACTTCACCATCCAAACGGCATCTTTCCCAAGCAATTGCGCAGCCCGTCTGCTCCAATACCTCGCCAGATATGCTCCCAACAGCCCTTCGCGCCCTGCGCTCTCGCAGCGCAGCGGCTTCCTCCCGCTCCTTCGTCCGCTACACCTCCACCGCGACGACCAGCAACCAGGTCCCCGCTAACGACCCTGTCAAGCGCGATGCGAAGCCGAACGTTTCCGAGACCAATGCGATGCCTACATCTTCCGAGGGTTCCTTCGACAAGGTCTTGCAGGAGTCTCCAGAGACAGCCGAGAAGTTGAGGGTTGAACAGGCGCCGAACTACAAGGGCATTTGGTCGCGGAGCCAAAACCCGAGGGAGGTTGCGATGAGTGGGCCAAGATTTGAGCAGAGCATTATGGAGGACCAGGTATGTCGAAATCTCCTGGAGCGGACATTATGGAAGAAACGGAAACAACCGTGGAAGAAAGGGTTGGTTTATGCAGGGGAGATTCACATGCTGACATAGAATCGTACAGCCTCGCCCATACGCCGCGATCGAGCTCATCCACAAGCAGCCCGTTCGCTGGACGCACGACCGTACTGTATCCTGTGACGGAGGCGGTGGCCCTCTCGGACACCCAAGGATCTTCATCAACGTAGATAAGCCCCAGATCTGCTGGTGCACATACTGTGGACTTCCATTCGTAAGTCCCCGTTTGGATTGTGTCTATTTCAGCCTTCCGATACTGGAGCTGGTTAAGGCAAGAGAATTACCGCTAATTACCTCTATAGGCACACGAGAAACACCGACCGCTCCTCGAAGCCACCCCTGAACACGAGCTATCATACCCCCTTGGACCCAAAGGCGATGCGGCGGAAGTCAACGGGACGCAGAAGGTTACGGATGAGCCGCTTGCACAGCGATAGAACGAGGCAGTCAGAAGAGAGATCAGGGCTGGTGTATATATGCATTGCAATTGAGACTTTGACAAACTGTCGTCTTCTGTCGTGTTGAGGTCGCGGTATTCGCCTGTCTTCTGAACGATGCAATGTATGCGCATTGAACTCGAAAAAGTTCTGGGATTGAGCTCCGCTTTGGTATCATCATTCGAGAGCAGAGTGTATTCCCTGAATACATGGCTTTCGCGAATCAAGTTGAGCCATCTCTTACCGGACAGCGTCGAGGGGTCATTCTATATGGATGTGAGACAGCCCTCATGTTCCACCTCATGGTACTGAAAGATATACATTACAAGTCCACCAATATTGACATGCTCTGAGCTTAAATCCCTAAGTCACTGCCAGTGCATACGGGAATACAACCGACTCTAACGGCGATGTCAAAGAGCAGAAAGGCCTTCATTTGAGCTGGATGGTTGATGAGATCACCATCTGAGCTGAAAATAAGGTCTCGTTTCACAAGCGTCAGGGCTATGTGAGACATTGGCATACGTCAAACCTGAGCATGCTGGTGATATGTCCGCTGTACATGTAGGACCCAACGTGCCTCACTTTTGTACAACTCTGGCTCAAAGAAAGCAAACTACATTGAAGGTGGATGATCTTTCGGACTCCTATCCTGTGAAAGCTTGAGATATTTGTTGGCTCATGATCCGAAGGCACAGTTTCCGATGACTTCCTCTACGTCAGATGAAACCAGGCACTCCAAGTGAGGGTATCGCACTCGCAGTCTCTCTTCTGCAGTCAGAATGGTGCTTTGCACGTTCATCCTAGTTTACATACATTTACTACCGATTCAGTGATTTTGAAGGCACACAAAAAACGCGTAGGAAGCGCGTCCTGAAGGCCCTGAAGGTCGATTGAAGTCGTTGTTAATGAGTTAGAAGCGGATGAGCAGAGAACGAGGCTGTGCCCAGCGGATGGACCTCACTACGGGTGATTCAGCACTGGCTTAGCATGGACACCCATGCTTACTGCGTCAGTGACCATACAACCAATGCGTATCTCATGTGCGTATGTTGGGTGTGAAATTTGAAGACGGACATGCTCTTTACATTCAAGACGACCTGACCCCACCGCGACACTCCTCTGACGTCACCCCACCCCACATAACGCGACTCAACTCTACGAACTTTAGCTCAACGCAATGCCGCAACAACACTCTACAAGCTCACATCTAACGACCTTCTTGATCGTCTTCATCTTCGTAATCGCGCTATTCCCAGGACTCTCTGTCGGTATATTCTGGGCGCCCTACAACAGCCTCGCAAACTACCTCGTGCCAACACCCCAACCGCGCGCAAGCGTGCTGTGCAAGAGTCCAAACGTCTGCACCTCCGTACCAATCATGTCTTGGTATGTCCTTGTGTTTTGTACCTATACAAAGTGTCTGTTAGTTGTTAACAGTTCCTAGGGCACAGAAATCCCTCACCCTCCCCAGCCGGTCGCGCGGGTCCTACCTCATCACCGACCACATCCTCAAAGAAGTCCCCGAGATCAAGAACTACAAGACTGGCCTACTGAACCTCTTCATTCAACACACATCGTGCGCGCTGTCATTGAACGAGAACTGGGATCAAGATGTTCGCGCGGACATGAGCACAGCGCTGGACCGCATTGTGCCGGAAGACAAGAAGGGCCAGGGACTGTACCGCCATGATGCAGAAGGCAGCGATGACATGCCCGCGCATGTCAAGTCTGCGTTGATTGGCGCGAGCGTCACGATCCCGATCACAAATGGAAAGCTGAACACGGGCACATGGCAAGGCATCTGGTACCTCGAGTTCAGAGATTCGAAGCACACACGGAAAGTGGTTGCCACGATTCAGGGAGAGAAGATGTGAAGTGCGGGATCTTAAGTTGGACCTATTCGCGAGCGACGTTGAGTCTGTGGTGGACTCGATGAGTCTTGCATGAGGAACTTGGAACGTCAAGGATATGATAACGAAACAATACCATAGAAGTGGGAAGTACGAGAGCTGAATCCGAATGTTTGAGCAGTATGTTATGTTACTATGGTCTATCGTGCAGTCGCAATTCCGCCGTTGCTTTTCTGACTCTCCTAAGAAACACTCCTGATAACGCCTGTCCTTCATAACCTCAACGCCAATGTCATGGTATGCTGCTTCGTATACCTAGGCAGAAGTATCCACCGCCCTATACATGAACAAAATCGTGAAAACCGTAGATCCCGTCACCTCGTTGTCTCATTGCCGTTGATGCCTAACGCGATGTGGACCACTCCTTCTTGTCCGTATCATCAACCGCTTCTTGTCTCTGATGAGCGCGTCGCTAGCTGTGGAAGAATGCTCCGATCATGCGCGGTGGAAGACGAGGAAGCCAACGTCAGCATCCATCATCCATCGGCCAGGATGACACTCGTTCTCAATCTGGTAGTAGGACCTGAGATGCCACTCGCCGTTGAGCTCGCGACACCAGAAAGGATCGTCGTCGCGTGCATCTGCTGGCCTAATCTTGCGCGGGTCGTACGAACCACGCTCAGTCGCGATCCTCCGATTCTCCATCTGGATGTCTTCGCGCGTGGGACCTTGCTGTGTGTGGCCGTGAACGTATGCTGGCCTTGTCTCTCTGACAGTCCTTGGGCCTGAGAAGCCTTGCGGTCCTTGTGGTTGACTGTTCGTCACATGGTATGTTGTGGTAGTTGTACTTGGTCCGGGTGGATAGACGTGCGCCGAGTAGCCGTAGCTAGGCACAGTGTTGTAGTAGGTCCTCTGGTAGGGGTAATAGAAGTTAGCAAGTGGGTACAGCGAACCATACAAGTTGTAGTTGTAGTAGCCATAGCCACCGCCATAGGAAGGGTAAGAATAATTGGAGGCATAGTAGTTCTGGGGAAAGTAGTTGGTGGCGTAGGTTTGAGGGTACAAGGGACGGGTGTATACCGCAGGTTGGTAGGCGGCCACCCCGTATCCGACACCCATACCGACGCCAACGCCTCCGAGCCCACCGTAGCCATAGCCGCCGCCTATGACGCCAGTGGGCGCGGCGCCATTCGCGGCTTGGCCGGCATAGGAGAGGAAACCGCGTTGGCCGTAACGAGGGTTGTAGATGTATTGGTGGCGGGGCTTTGGGTACCCCTCCATTGCAAGAGTTGATGGATAAGGGCCGATCGGACGATGAATAGGAGAGTTGTGAAGGAGGCAGGTCGCGATGGCGGTCGGTGGGAATTGCGCGGTTACAGTGGAGCAGGGCGAGAGGAGGAAGAAGGTGAAGGTCGGAGCGAGATACAACAAAATCGAGAGAAAGATGATGTCGCGGCAGTAAAGGCCGAGAGCCACGCGATGTTCAAGAAAACATGCGAGCCAATGATGGCGGGGCAAGGCAGCGGTGTAGTAAAGGGAAGTCGCAAACAAACGCGATGGGGCAACGAAAG